CCAATATAAGAGCGGTATTAAAGTAATATATATATATCTATACGTTATTCGATTTAGCAAAGCTGATGCTCCGTCATAACAATATAATACTTTGCGTGCTGTTATTTTATTATTAAATACACATTGCAATACCTCCCTCCCCTTTATACTTATATATATATATATATTATGTATACTATAATGTAATTGGTGAGAACTCGCGTTGTATTGTTTATACTGGAGAGATTACGTTTACACAGCAATAATGTAAAGTATGTACAACGAAAATATGATGAAAACTATAATAACATAATAATCGTATATTATTCGTAATTGGAGTGGTGCGCGCATACATAAGATGAAAGAATGTACACAGTATATACATATTATATTATGTATAATACACACAATATACCGCATTGTTTGATCCGCAGTAGAGTAGCTCCTACTTCCCCTCTCTCCCCTCTCGTATGGCTGGTTCAAACGTGGGAACATTAAAGTTACGTGTTCACTCAAATTGACTTAACAATGATTGTTATTATTTTTTGGTCGGCAAACGATAAGCTCTATATTGTAGTGTTTAAGTCGGACACGGTCGATCGACCGCCAATAAAATAGGCACTACACCTACTGCCGCCTTGTACACAGTTCCTAACTAATTGTAGTAGGGTAAAACCGCTCCAAGACCTTATCGTGTCAGCTGCACTATCGATATGACATAGTCACTCGGCGAAACAATCGATACAAGCTCTATATGTTGGTCAATCCGTTGGATTGCGTCAATTTATTTTCCAATACATAGATAGTCGCATACCGCGGTTGTGCAAGAGAACTTAAGTCTGCCTCCTTCGCGAGATGCACACCGCCATAATAGGCACGGCCGTGAACACTAGTGTTTAGATTCAAAAGATATGATCTCTATGATATTTTCACTGCGAGTTATATAGGCGGTGATCAGCCATATTTATATAGTGGCTAGTATGATAGTATACTTTTTTCCAACTGGGCCGGCGAATATCGCGCCGGATTCGAACACAATATCATTTTTATAGGTCCTTATGTACACCGATCATCTATTTACAGATATTATGTCTATTAGGAAACGCGCGGTCGAAAAAAAACACAATCCAATTCAGTGTAAAACTGTGCTGTCGAATTTTACATGCTCTATGTTATATTATTCAAGTTATTCGATTGCGCAATTAAATTATTACTTTTCCGACGCACCCTGTATCGCGCATATATTTTGATCTGAACGCCGATTGAAATCCGTACTCGGGCAAACGAGAACCGATGACATTATGAGGTTATCGACGGATTTTGTATTGTAAAAAACTAGAGCAGCGAACGCGCTTAATTAACTACACCGTTGTGCACGTTCTTGGCCGTACGCATGGTACTACGGTGTCACAATATCGTTTTACATCACCCATAGGTGTTTTTTTTAACAGCTAGTGAATTGTTCAAGTCATCTTTAAGTCTTGTCTGTCTGTCTAGGTGTGTGTGTGCGTGTTACGATTACCATTGCTATTACCTGTGCAATAGTAATAATATTATCATTATTCGACAGTATGATTATTATTATTATTATATCAATATGGCGCGCCAAGACGTTTCGAAATCGAGGAAGTCTGCGCTATGTTAACAGCCACGGTATTTTTTACAAATTGGACACGGACGACATTTGTTCGGAGCTCGAACACATAGGCGATAACGTAATCGGTTACTTGTGATTTTGTTCTTTGTTTTTATATAAAGGTCAAAGCTGTGACGGGTATCATTGGCAACTATCAATTTATCTGTCCGCTGTACCTAAGCTGGAATGATCGATGAAATCGCTAGACTTGTTTTTCTAGGTTTGCATTTTATTTTGGCGATTCCACAAGTATGAAAGACGCGCGTTAAGTCGGGCCAGAGCAGTTTTGTCAGTTTTGCATTCTAAGTTATTTTCGCCAAAAATTTCAATGTTAGTAAGATTGATAGTAAGCTCAAAGACGTATACATGATTGTTATTGCTTTTAAGCTACGAAACTAAAACATATGCGTGCACACACCTGTAATGCTCGGAATGCACGCTTTGGCGTTTAGGAAATACAGGCCTAAGTATTTTATTATGATCTATATTTCGGTTATATAACCCACGGAATACAAGTGCACGCGGAAACGGTGACTATGCAGCCGGTATCTGCCCACTTGTGTGAAATTCGTTTTACACATTATCTCCTATGCTCACATATTTTGTATGTACGGTACGTACGATTTCCAGGTTTTTATTTTCCACAAGACCGTGTTGCGAAGGCGAGAAGGACGGAGGGGAGGAGTAAAATGCACTTGGTACACTTAAACCGGCTAAACGCGTCCGCATTCCAACGCCGATTGTATATTGTGTGAGCGTTCGAGGGGCGCTAAAAGCTTCGATTGGTGGTCGACCCTTTTGGAAAAACAAACGACAAGTCGTCGCGGAAAATGCGCAATCCAACGGGTCGACTGGCAAAGGAGGAGGGGAAGTGTGTATATCTAAACGGTTTTTTTGTTGTCTTTTTTGAAATCGTGCCAAGAATACTAGCCAGCGTGTAATATGTTTTTCCTCGACTCGCGGCGTTAAGTGAAATAGCGAATTATTTAATTAACGACGTTCGTGGGTCACGCACCTTCTGCCCTCTTAGCCATAGCTTGTTCAGACGAACGTTAAGTTTATCGCCCATCTCGAATGTCGAACCGCATATTTGTATTTTCGAAATTGGCCGGCGAAAAATAGGGTGACCACCCAAACACGCACTGGCAACGGACAATTAAAAATAAACTATTACATTAATATTGTAATGTACAGCAAAATTATTGCTTAGCTCCAGAGACGTCGCCGTTGTACTGTCTTTCATAAAAAAAACCTTCTAAGATTCCTTAAAAAACAATCATTTTGTAGAATACCGAATCTAAAATGATTTCCCACGCATTATATAGACTTGATATTATATTCAGTTTATTTTATGTGTTTTTTGAAGCGATGGGACAGATTTTTTAAAATACTGTCATTGTCGTTGTATTTTAAAAATCATCCTGTAGTTGGATCGTCAGACAGCGTCGTCTGTAAAGTTACTCAAAATTTGATTCCCGTAGTTGTCAACTCTAATTAAGAAGTCTGCGCAGTCCAGACAAACGCACTTAAATATGTACACGTCGAATTGCCAACAAAGGCAGAGGGGGCAAACCTACCGAAACTCCATTAATATTGAAAAAACAATTAATTTTTAAAGGGTTTATTTTTTTTAGAATTTCAGCGTAACTAGTTTTGTTTTTACCACATAATTTCACAATCATCATGTCTCGTTCCATCCATTCGGGCGGTATAACCCATTTTATGGAAATGAACTTTATTATAAGAATAATGTATTTAACGCGTTATGACATTAAAACATATAATTTCATTGCAATTCTAGGTAAACTTTCTGGCGGGTTCTGAATTTTGTTTTTTTATGTCTCCGTTTAGTGCACATTTCCTAAATTACATATTTTATTACTCATTATTGTATGCGCGAGAACATAAAATAAAAGTAAATTGTAGCTTCGCATAAAAACAAATATAACGTATCATTACAATAAAATGTTTTAATTAAACACTATACAAATATTATTAGATTTAAAATTATTTTACTACAACGTTATTTCACACAATGTTTCTTGAACATAAGGAGTCGTGTCTTTAGAAATATATCAATATGCTTTTCTATTAATTATAATTTTTTGTTTATTCGATTTAATAATATTTAATTATTATTAACATTTTTTTCGAGTAAAAAAAGCCTGTTTACGTGTTTTATAAATTTCGAAAAAAACTTTAATGTAGTTGTGTTTCTATTTAATTTTTTAATTTTAACGTGTTTTCGAGTAGGTAAAAACTGCTTTATTTGGTGTAAATTTAAAGATATATGTATATTAAAAATCTTTTAAATTCATAAAACAAATTTTAAAACAGTAATGCAAATCAAATTATTTGTATTTAACCTAAGCATAAATTGTATTACTTAAAAGTAATACTTATTTTACTAAAATATTCGTTTGTGAATCAATTTTTTTTTTAATGACGTTTTTAAAGAGATTTTTTATCTGTCATAGAGGTTTAATAAACATATTACTTACAACGCATGGAGAAGCAACTAGTGTTAAATTAATTCAAGTGCATACGCATATCCGTTACAATAAACTAGCTTTATTTTTTATTCATTTTAAATCTCGTAATAAGATCAATGTCGAGCATTATACAGGTAAAGATTGTTCAATTTCATTTTATATGCATACAACATGGTAATAACCGTAGGAGAAATTTTTTTTTTTTTTTGGTACTGATCTGATATTAATATGATTAAATATTCTACTGAAGCCACGCGAATCATAACATAGTTCGTTTACATAGTTACTGATCAATACAAATATTACCTATATAATACCTATTTAAAAAAAACTCATTATAATTTGTACAGTTAACAATAAACTGTGTACATGGTATTAAGCATTACTCATACATGTTCTAAATTATTGGTTTATATACATGAGCTGTAGAAATTGTATTCATACATATTTTTATTGATGCAAATAAAGCTATTAAATTATATTATGTATAAGCAATATTTTTGGTTTTTAAAGTGTTTTTTTTTTATTATAAGCGGAAGGTCATAATATTTGAGAGATGAAAAATATATATCCTAATACCATGTTTATGAAATGTGTAATGTCTACTATTTTATTCCGGTTGGCGACTCTAATAAAATAATTCAGACAAGTCTGCCAGACGCAAAGTTTTATATTTTTAATCTTGCAATAAATCATGATTTTTCTTAAATTCATATAAACAAAGAAAATCGAAAATGTTATTTTAGTATTGCTTTTGTGCAAAATGAATATCTATAAGAACCTTGTATACAATATAAATTAGACACTCTGGTATTGTAGTTTTGATTTATTTTTAAAGATGGTTTTTATTCAACATTTTGTACTTATAAATTTTGTGTATATTTTATTTACAGAACATATTGGAAAAATTCAACCCTGGTGCTAGGCAAATGATCAATGCGGGAAAGGCATATTTGAAAGCTCTGCATGGTAAGTAATTGTTATACTATAATAGTTAATAATAACTTTAAACACAAACTGTGAACTCAGTTATTGAACTTAACTGTTTGAAAAATGTCTTACATGTATTACATAAGTGGCAAACGCAGTTGCACAATTTTATGTTAATCAACGAGAATTCTCTAAATATGTCATAATTATGAATAACAAATTCGATTTCATCGCTTTTTACTGAAACTTTCATGTACATTAATGAAATATTCATAGCTTTTCGTAATTACTAACTTAATGTTTCTTTGAGTCACTACCTAATCCAGTTAAAGTATATAATTTGTTTAGCCTCATTTAATATTTTATTTTATACGTTTCTTCGTCCCCTCTGGTTGTTACTTTTACACTCTTTTGGCAAAAGTCAAAAAGTTTTTGGGAAGAAGATACACAAATAACCCTTCCAGTAGTTTCAGTGAACATTTCTAAGCGAAATTTATAAAAAGAATCGTTAATCATTTCCTCTTTCAAAAGGAATTTATTAACAATTAATTTTTTTAAACAAATACATTGTTTCAACTCTTTTTTTTTATTTTTGAAAAATATATTAATTGGTTTCTTCTTTATAGCTTCGTGTTTTTCCTGAACACATTATTAGTTAATACATATTTTTTCAATGCTCAATAATTTATATAAACAAACAACGTAGCAATGAAAAGTCGTTGAGGTATTGCAGCGACATCATATTTTTGGGATGACTGTTTTTTTTTGTAGTGTAAATAAAATATATTATTATAAAAATGAAAATTAAACTTTTTAGAGACCCTAATTTTTTATGACGATCTGTTGGCCATATACTTGGAAAATATTAAAACAGAAAAAATGTACACGTATTATACATCTCGTGTATAAATATGTATAGCAGTGGCTGTATAGTAAATCCTGGGTCGGTTCCGTACCCCGAATTTCAAAATTCATGCACGTTAAACACTAAACAAGGTTGTATTAAACATATTTAGCATTCGACTAACAAACTCTTCTCCGTAATCCGATTTGGTTCTTTTTTGTGTTTGGTTTTGTTTAAATCCGACTAACGCTACACATTTTATATTGTACCGCAAGGGTAGTATAAAAAGCCATTAGATAATAATTATTTAAAGAATTAATTTCCTCTTAAAATACTATTATCGTTGAATACAAATTGCAGATAATTTTAGAAATTCGTTTGAAATCGATCGGGTTTACCTTGACAGGAAAATTGTGTATTGACTTAAATAATAATAATTAATACCCCTAAAGCCTATAACACGCGATAAGATGTAATTATTTAAAGGGCCGATATTATACTTTGTTTTTCAGATCAAGTTGGAATACTTATAATGTTAAACATGTTGTTGACACGTTATAATATGCTTTATGTTTAAAATATAAAACCTATTTTTGTTATTTAAAAAGCTAAAACTGTTAGCTATAATGATTAAAAAATATAATTTATAAATCATAAATCACAAGTCTATATAATTAATAAACTAAAAAAAATGTACAACTAGTTGCCAATATATTATCGAAACGTGAACAAAATGGACATTGTTAACACAAGGCTCATACAGGGTCACGGTGGTCACGGTGTTTTCGCAGATTAAAAAAAAAAACCATAATTTTGTAAATTTGTTAGGATATCTTGAAAAAATGTATATTATGTATATATTATTACAGTCATTGCGTCTTGGTGTCATTACAAAATATATAATACCTAGACAGTTGAGTAACGCGCGGTATTGTGCGGTCGCCTTTGCGTGTAAACTTCTCCAATTTAGTATTTTTGCATTTAAATTGAAATAGAATACGGGATGAAATGATTGGAGCTGGTTCGCCATAAGATGTTTCTGTTACGAGAGGAGGAGGAGAAGGATACACGTGTCTCCTAATAAAAACTTTATCTCGGCCGGCGGCGGCGGGGGCACTGTGTAGAAGTAAATCAGTCTGTCGCCAACTTATGCATTTTACAACGTTATAGGCTGCCCGAATTGCTCTTGTACAGGCTTCGCAGTGGTCGTCCCGATGGCATACAAACAAGCTTACTTCCCGCCGAGCGAATGTTTTGAATAAAAACACTCACACGTTATGTATACACTGTAATACTATACAAACAGAATTTTTTTTTTTTGGTAAACCACCGACGACGTTGTCCGTCGGTTTTTTTTTTTAGCCAATCCCTTGCATATCTTTCTGCGTTTCCATCCAATTTCTTCTCGGCCAATGCAAACACAGACAGCCACCAACGCCAAAGACCTAGCCGGAGACAGTGCCCGACATCATAAATATTTATCAAAATATAATATGCATGATTGATGACACGCGTGCATGTTGTTTATATTATCGGTACACTATACACATATAATATTATAATGTATACAGTATAAATATTATGATCGTATGCCCGCCGTCTTCATCGCCGTCGTCAACGCACCCCCGGACAGTTAATGTTGTCATTGGTCAGGACGAAGGGGTGTCATGATCCATGATTGATATCTTCTACCACCACCGCCACCTCTTTTCTTCCCCTAACCGTCATATTGTTATTACTGCTGAAGGATGATATTACTGTACGCGTCGTCGTTGATTGTTCGGATAGAGCTCATAAATATTTTTTTCTTTCCAAAGATTAACGCTTACAATATAAAAAGAACACATTAACAACCGTGTCCAGACTGACAATTGTATATATACATATATACACCTGTAAAAACTGACCTTCCAAAACTAACGACTCGAGGGTTATTATCTGATATATATATATATATATATTATATGATATACCTGCTCATCCACGGCACCTCAACATTGGCCTTATGGCGGCTATTACTTTTTCACACTCGTTTTAAGTTATTATATAGATTCGTGCAACCTGAGTGTTTACAGGGTGATCAACTAAAAGAGATCCTCTCGTTTAAAAAAAAAATTCAAATTTCATAGTTTATTTTGTTTAGAAAACATTTTTGTTTATGTTATATCACAATATTATACACAGGTATTTCAACTTTTGAACTCTTAGGATTACAGTTATTTAGCACGTTTAGTGGGATGGAGCAAACGAGCGATGTGGTATCATTTTTTCTACGCGTTACTCATCTGCACTTCTTCTACAGCCTAATCTTTCAAACGTTAATACCCCTGAATTAAACTGTTCAACACTGTTTATCGTCCAGTCAACATTTCCTTGAAGAAGTTTGTAAAACAAGTGCGCTTTTTGAGATTATAAAGCGAGTTATTCCGTGATTTCGCAAAGCACTCAGAAAATACATGTTTGTATATACCTAATAATTAATATACAACCTTATAATGGAGTGTAACACTCGTGTTTTTTTTTCGACAGTTTTAAATGATATAGAATTTTTCTGGTCATTATCATGGAATTTAATGCGAATATTTTATCTGTCGCATACACTTGTCGTCGCGGAATTAGATATAATTTTGATAATATGATTGCCTTGTATTCTTTTGTCCGAGCATCTCCGTCAATATATTGTGCACGGTTGTATACAATATGTTTATTCTAGTCTTAAGCTTAATAATAACATGTGTGTGTGTGTATATATATATATAGTAAATATTACATGTACACTGCCTTGAACTTGAAATGGCTCGAGAGCGCGTTTTTATAGTGCAAGCTGTAGAAAGGGTTTGAACACACATTTGTGTATGTTATGGGCGTAATCGAAATGTTACGGCGTTCTGCCAAAGACCCGATGGGCATGTATGGCCGTATTAAAGTGTCTGGCAGTCGTGAACCGGATGACTTTGAGCGAGCAACACTGGGTGTAATGATATTATAAATGTGTTGGGGTGTGGGCAAGGATATATTATATGTATATATATATATATATATATACGGTGACGGATAACGGATAGGGATGTAATTGGATTATGGGTAACAATGCGCCGGGGGAAAAAGTCTTGGAATTAAAGCGCAGCACAACAAAACGCAAAAAAAAAAAGGAGAAAATCCGCAATTGCAGTTCGGAAACCTTTTAAGCTGTCAAACTTTCACGAGAAGAAACATTGTACTTAGTTTTTTTTTTTGGAGCTTGTGGGGACGATCGTGGCTGCATAATAAACGCAACCGACGACGCAGTGGGGAACGCATGGGGCAGTTAATTGTCCATCGTCATTATAATTAGTTGAAGTTAGATTAGGTTTAAATATACTTGCGTCGAATAGCTGAGGTCCAAAAAATTACTAGTGCTATTTTACTTAAAAACAAGCATTAATCATATAATGCTCATCAATTAGAACTTTTTTCTATCCGTGTTTGGTTTTATAGTTGTTGATACATTCTCGAAAGAAGTAATGAATAAAATCCCTGTTGATTTTCAACAAGTCTACACATTATCGCACTTACTATATATTATGTGTGTGTGTGTGTGTGTGTGTGTGCGTAAATTGGTCATCATTGGTCGATGAATTTTGTAGGGCGCGCGCCGAGTTCCATAAATGAATATCGACGAACACATGAATAAAACATGTCCCAATAGAAAAAGGCGTCCCCCGCACGCCTTACAATACAATCGCAATAACATATTTTGCAGTCTGCAAAAGCGATGTACAGCCATTAAAATACACACACATCGATACGAGCAACTCTTTAAGTATTGTTCGCATAAGTCCAAGCGAATACCGTCCTTCGACTGTCTTCTTTGGACATTTTTAATAACATTATTGCCGTTGAGGTCCCGAGAATATAATATTTGTATTATTATATACGGGTTTCCTCCGAGTTGTCTCGTGTTCAATGCACGATCGTCATACGAGTTTGGATCAAGTCCAAGTGCGGTCTCGGTATAACCGTGGACTGCAGTAATCGGAATTTATAAAGAAAAAAAAAATGATTTCAACACAATATTATACTTACACTTTTGTACGTTCAAAACATAATATGTCACTGTTACACTCGCACAAAAGATAAATTGGTGAAAGCTCTCATGCGACTTGGGTCACACCAAACAATAATCAAATCCCGTTCTCATTTGTATACTAGTAAA